CGGCAGTGTATCAAATACTTGTTCTCCCCACTGCACATGGACTCTTTTATCTCCTTACAGGTATTGAGTGACAGACATTCATTTGTACATTAATGGAGCATGATGACAGCGAAACAATAGTGGTTGTGATGAGTGGGCGAGGCTCCTCCTGTCATCTAAGTAGAGCTCCTCTCTCCTCTGTCTCCTCACCCCACCACGGTGCCGAACCACACACACCACATGACCCCCATAGGGAGAAACATGTGGAGGACAGCTTTGCATGCCTTTCATGCAATGGAACTCTCGCAGGGTGTATCAAAGCACTAGACTACTCCACCGACTGTGGACTGTGATTTGGTGCACAAAGAGAAGATACTTACATGCTTTGTATACATTTTTATCTGTTTTCATGACACGCTAGGTATCTTTATTCTTCCCTGTGGCATCTCTGAACAAATTTGAAGGAAATTTGTTTTTTCGTAGTAAAACAACTATGAATTTGAAAAATTCAGGGCATACAGATGTTGGATCTTACTTTGATCACCCTGTTGCATGAGAACATTCCTGCAAAGCAGGACATTTAAAACTTGTAGTGTGCATCTGAAGTTTGTAATTTCCACTTTGAAATTTCAGACTTAATTTTCCCTTTACGAAAAATGTATCAACCCCGACAAAAAAGTCACCGTTGCTGCAGGATTATTTTCCTGCTGTAGACAATTTATTAAGATCCTACATATGTATGTACTTCCACATAGGCCCCGTGTAGCTCAGTTGGTAGAGCATGGCGCTTGCAACGCCAGGGTTGTGGGTTCGATTCCCATGGGGGGCCAGTATGAAGAAAAAATGTATGCACTCACTAACTGTAAGTCGGTCTGGATAAGAGCGTCTGCTAAATGACTACAATGTAAATATACCAAAGTTGTTGTTGCCACTTTGTCAAATCCAGTGGTAGACATTTTAAATCAATTTTGTTTTACTGAATGAGAAACCAAGGAGGTGTTTCCCAAAAGTATGATTGATATTACAGTACCAGTCAAAAGGTTGTACACACCTACTCATTCTAGGGTTTTTCTTTATTTTAAAAATGTTCTACATTGTAGAATAATAGTTAAGACATCAAAAGTATGAAATAACACATATGGAATCATGTAGTAACCAAAAAAGTGTTAAACAAATCAAAATATATTTGAGATTTGAGATTCTTCAAAGTAGCCACCCTTTGCCTTGATGACAGCTATTCAATCTCTTGGCATTCTCTCAACCAGCTTAATGAGGTAGTCACCTGGAATGCATTTCAATTAACAGGTTTGCCTTGTTTAAAGTTAATTTGTGGAATTTCTTTCCTTCTTAATGCGTTTGAGCCAATCAGTTGTGTTGTGACAAGGTAGGGGTGGTATACAGAAGATAGCCCTATTTGGTAAAAGACCAAGTCCATATTATTGCAAGAACAGCTCAAATAAGCAAAGAGAAACGACAGTCCATCATTACTTTAAGACATGAAGGTCAGTCAATACGGAACATTTCAAGAACTTTTAAAGTTTCTTCAAGTGCAGTCGCAAAAACCATCAAGCGCTATGATGAACCTGGCTCTCATGAGGACCGCCACAGGAAAGGAAGACCCAGAGTTACTTCTGCTGCAGAGGATAAATTCGTTAGAGTTAACTGCACCTCAGATTGCAGTCCAAATAAATGCTTCACAGAGTTCAAGTAACAGACACATCTCAACATCAACTGTTCAGAGGAGACTGCGTGAATCTGGCCTTTATGGTCAAGTTGCTGCAAAGAAACCACTACTAAAGGACACCAATAAGAAGAAGAGACTTGCTTGGGCCAAGAAACACGAGCAATGGACATTAGACCGGTGGAAATCTGTCCTTTGGTCTGATGAGTCCTAATTTGAGATTTTTGGTTCCAACCACCGTGTCTTTGTGAGACGCAGAGTAGGTGAACGGAAGATCTCTGCATATGTGGTTCCCACCGTGAAGCATGGAGGAGGAGGTGTGATGGTGTGGGGGTGCTTTGCTGGTGACATTGTCAGTAATTTATTTAGAATTCAAGGCACACTTAACCAGCATGGCTACCACAGCATTCTGCAGCGATACGCCATCCCATCTGGTTTGCGCATTTGTTTTTCAACAGGACAATGACCCAAAACACACCTCCAGGCTGTGTAAGGCTATTTGACCAAGAAGGAGAGTGATGTAGTGCTGCATCAGATGATCTGGCCTCCACAATCACCTGACCTCAACCCAATTGAGATGGTTTGGGATGAGTTGGACCACAGAGTGAAGGAAAAGCAGCCAACAAGTGCTCAGCATATGTGGGAACTCCTTCAAGACTGTTGGAAAAGCATTCCTCATGAAGCTGGTTGAGAGAATGCCAAGAGTGTACAAAGCTGTCATCAAGGCAAAGGGTGGCTACTTTAAAGAATCTGAAATACCAAACATATTTTGATTTGTTTAACACTTTTTTGGTTACTACATGATTCCATATGTGTTATTTCATAGTTTTCATGTCTTCACTATTATTATACAATGTAGAAAATAGTAAAAATAAAAATAAATCCTTGAATGAGTAGGTGTGTCCAAAGTTTTGATTGGTACTGTACGTGTTTATAATGTCACCGTCTTCTGTCCCCGTTTTTTCCTCTCAACCCTCTTGTTTTATCTCTTAGTTGTGCAGCCCTAGTTTCTCAAGCACACTGACTCAGCAGAAAAAAATTGCCTTAATAGCATGGACCCTAATTATAAGGGAGAAATAACTTCTCCAAGCAATATCTAAAAGTTTGTTACATATTTAGAATGTAAAATGTTTAAATGAGTTGCCAGAAAAAGCATTGCTTTTGTGTGCAATATAGTGATTAGCTAGCTAGAATATTTTGTTTGTGTTTAATTGGCAAATGGAAAGTATTATTTTTGCAAGAAATCCCATTTCTCCATCTCTCAGCATATGCATTCAATGCAGTTTCTTCATCAGAATAAAACAAACACATTATTAAAACAGGCAGCAGAATCCCATTCTGATTTGATTATTTGATGCAACCTACCATTTTCCCCAAAGTAGTCAAACTATAAACAATCTTATTTATGACCCCACATCTCTGTTCTAAACTGAACAGAGAGAGTAGTGCTAGACAGAAAGAATCATGTGAGGAATGGGGGAGTGTGCTCCGGGACGGAGAGAGAGAAAGAGGTTCAGAGGAAGACACCAGGGGATATCTGCACAGAGAAGCCTCAGTGGAAAGTGTGACTGGGAAACTGAGGCTCTGAGGTAAGTGTTTAGGCTCAGTGCTAGAAAGGGTAGTATAGTTCTTACCTTGATTGAATCAATTGCTCTGTGTAACTAGCTGCTGCACCCAGCCTCCCCTGGGTGACAGGGAGGCCGGCAGAGAGTGAACCTATCCAGCCTGTCATGGCCGCCAGAAAACAGGGAAGATTAACAGTAATGCATCATAGCTGTGGGCGACCATTGATGTGTAGAAGACTGTATTTATTGACTCAATGACTGTATTGATTGTCTCAATTGATAAAAAGTCCAGAGACAGTAGTAAGACAGCAGACAGAAGCACAGCAAGCTATGCAAAAAGGATGACGGTTCTTATTTCATGGAGTGAAACATAAAGTAACATTTATAGAAAAGCAGAAAAGCACTGTAAAACTCTGTTATTATAATCCGTGCCATGTATACAAACCTGGATGAGGATCAGCACAAGTGGGTTACGATGCGATGATGTGCATAATGTTTCCTCAACAGACAGATTCCAGTCAGATACATGATGCTGTCATAACAATATGGGAGATTTACTGGGTAAACCTGTGCATAATAGCATTTTGTCTGAAGCAAATCATCACTTTGACATTGACAATGCTGTTCCAAGTTTACTTAATTAATCCATTAATCTCTTAATGACAGAAGACTGCGTGGCACCAGATGTTTGTTAACACCCTTCTGTTGGGTCCTCCTCTGTTGTTCTTCACCTCATCGACTTAACCATAACAACAGGAGAACCCTATTGGCTCGCAAATCTCACTGCAAATTCTGTCACATTTATCATATAATAGCTCTATATAAAATAGTTTTTAGAATAGTTTTCCTCCATTTATAATATACTTTGTGTACACCTCAAAATATTGTTACTTCAGATTAGTGGGCATACTTTGAATGGGTGTGACATTTACAGTTATCCATTGATGTTTGTAAGAAATGCATTCTAGTTGATACAGTATACTGTATGCCAATTCCAGCTTCACAAATGATGATATACAAAACAATTTGAAATATATGTACTGTACATTTGCTTAAAACATGTTACTTACGAGTGCAGGTCAACAAAAATATGGATTCTGAGGAAATTAAAGCTATGCTTTGGTAAACTTGGATTGACAAAAAAGGGATTGTCTCTATTTATAATACATACACGGACAACCTCAAATACGACATGAGTGTCATGTCAAGGGATTATTGTACTGTAAGACTCATTTATTTTCTCTACAGCAGAGTGTTGAAATAAATCATCCAGTATACTTCATGGCCTCAGTCATCTGAGTAGTATGACTGTTTTGTACTGTACGCTGGTGGGTGTGGGTGAGAGGGCAACAAACTGCATGAAAACTAAAGGGAGAAGAAGCAGGCAGAATACACCCTTAGGGCTCAGGAGGTAAGGACACTTAACTTATCGCATGCATGTATTGTCATACTCGACATGATTCATATATCAGCTCTATGTTTTTAAAACAAAAGGAATAAAAGAATCTCCTCTTCACAAATATAAATATTATGTTATGTATACTATGTACAATAATGTTTTGCCACCATCAACAACATTAGTATTGAGGGAGAGAATAGAAGCATGTCAGTAAACTATTTTTTTCTATGGATATAGACACTTTTGCAAAGACAGCCATGATTGATTGACGTACTCAAGCACTCTCTCAGAGGATGAAGTGGTAGGGACAGACAGTAGTTGTGTTATTGAGAAGGCTGGTGGTGTAGCTGTGGCTGTGCCATGGGGCAGCAGTCTGTTAGTTCTGAGAGCTCCGAGAGTCACTGCCCCCCTCCAACTCCCACTCAAAGTTCTGGCCAGTCATTTGGTAGAACATCATGTTAAAGGGTTTGAAGAACTTGTGCAGTCGGCTGATAACATCTGGGTCAATTTTAGGGTGAGTTCTCCCCTTAGATTTGCCGAGACATCTTGGGGTGCTGCTGTCCTCTGGCTTCTTGAGACAAGGAAATCCCTTAGTTTTGTTGAAGTAAAAGTGTTTATCCGTGACGATCCGCTTGAGTCCCAGAAAGTCCTGTACCTTGCCCATCTCGCCAGCGGGATCAACGATAAGCCTCTCTCCACTGACAAAGTGCATCTGGGCGAGAGGGAAGTACTGCATCCACGTCTCCAAGTGGAGTGCGTAGATCCCTATACGTAGAGCACTCCACGACGCATCTATTAGGCCAAGCGTCCGGTTCTTAAAGGCCAAAACTTCAAAGGTTGGGATCTCAGGTTTTTTGGACAGAGTCTGAGTGTAGTCTGAAATGGCCCTGGTGACAGGGTTGCGGACCACGATGATTAACTTGATGTCCCTGGCCATCGTGTGGATGCGCTTGGGGGCGTGGCTAGTCACAAAGTAGCTGGGTGTCTTCTCCATGGTGATCTGTCCCTCCAACGTCGAAGGCATCAGGTCTCTGTGAACACAAAGCAGCAGTTAGCTCAGCTCAGTTAATACTGAACTCTATGCACCTACTGCAACACAAATTAGGTACTCAAGGACAGGGTACAAGCAAATTTGGTATTTATGGAGCAATAAATAATTTGAAATTACAAGTGAAATAACTGTTATTATCACTGGACATTATGTAGCCAGGAGAAAAATATAGCTTATTTAATCCGTGGAGTAATATGTGCAAGATAAAAGAAACAGAAGATGTAACGGCAAGTGAGCAAGTATGCTCATTGCCTAATTGGCTCCATCTGTGTTACTCTAGGAGCTGTTTTGGGACTTTAATAATGAGTTCACTGCATATCATTAATACTGCTGGTGCCTGGGGTATTGTTTTGTCGTACATTTATTCTGTGTGCCTGCCTTGAGTTTCATTCCTTAGCATTCACTTCCACTTCTGCATTGTGTGTAAGACACATTCCTTTTCTTTCCCTCTATCCCATGTTTAAGGTTAGAGGCTGTTCATTGAAGGGAATAGTGATTCATTATGAGATTCTTTGTGATCATTTGTAGTAGAACAGAAATGCCCCTGTCTTGAGAGATTTATCTCAGGGATAGCGGGAAACCATTTGCCAGTGCCGCAAATATTATGTTCAACTTTGTCTCTGGGACTAAGTTGGGGGATAAATCAACGTGGAAGCAAATGTAATTCATACATACAAAATAGAGATTAGTACCTACAGTTTCTCTTTTTTCTCTATGGATAACAAAGCATTATGTTTGCCTCAAGCAAATCGATATTAAATGTTTACATTGTCTTTCATTGCAATCCTTGTTCTATTTGTTTAGACATGATTATGCTCTAAATTGGCCACATTAAAACCTGTGAATTGTATAGCCTTTATATACTTACACCAAATAGAAATATGAAATACAATACAAGTTTATGAACACCGTAATAAATGCTATTGATTTGATCATGTTTTACAATCTCATTGCTGTGTAAAAGTAATTATAACCTTAGTCATGCTATATTTTCTTTGAATTTGTGAAAACTAAAGCTCATAATTGTTCCATTCCTTCAAAAGAAATGATTCCACTTTCACAGATACAGAGGGTACGGTGTTCTCCATAAATCTCAGATAAAACAATTGTTTTCTCAATTTAGATTGTCATCAGCATAGACTTAAGATGGTACAATATAGCCACATCAATCATTTGCATCCTGGACACATTCTAAATGAACTGTTCTCTTTGCAAATAATCAAATTTACTGGGAGAAACACATCAAGTGTTATGTACATACATATCGACCCCCCTCACACCACATGGACACTGGCCCTCAAGTCTGGCTTGGTAATGTCATTTCTGTAACAGTATTGCACTCCTGATTGGTAATTTCCCCCTGGATTCTGTTTGGCTCAAGATACTATAGAGGCTGTGGCTATTTCTTAGGCTGTAATGGGATTTAAAACATACCTACAGATTGGATAGTGACTGGAAGGAGTATTAGTTTTCATTATATTCCATCAATGTTCCACACTTCCTCAGTGGGGTGGGTAATGAATGGCTAAAGATTATTTTCTCCCTTCAAGGTCTTCAGCTGATGGCTATTTAAAGTCTAAAGCATGTTAGATGGTAGTGAGGGTGTGCCATCACTGTGTATGAGAACTAAAACACAGAGAGAGGAAACTCAATAAAACACACCACAATGAATCACCTTGAAACAACCTATGTACTGCACATCCTATATAGAAACATAAGGACAAGCTAACATGTCTCAACGGTAATGTGTCATGCCTCTTTGACACAAACATCCCATTGACAGGACAGATAAATTATGCTCAAGGTAACCTCTTCTATATAAGTCAGCCACATAACAAGCTATTGTCCTCATCAGGCTTAATTTAAAAAATATGGAGATTGCACAAGCGCGCGATACCTTCATCTCTGATTGAGGTCGAACTCATTTTGATTGAGAATGAATCAGTCATGGATCGTGTACATCGAAAATGTCAGTGGAACAGAGAGGCGGAACAGAAATCACAATGCTGATAAACAAGCTAATTTTCCTGCATGCGCCAGGCAGATGACTCCTCTGGCCTTGCACTCTAGCGGAACTGAAGTAAACAACAGCAAAGAGTTAACTCTCATTTCTCTACGCATCAGCTGTTGAGCTCAACGTGGGTCATTCAGGTGGGTAAGTAAATTAAACACGGAATGTTAAAGAGGCCCGGCGAACCATCTGCTGTTTACTCAGTCAGACCACATAACACATCTCTTAACATTTACCTCTTGTACCATAACGGCAGACCATCTAATTTATACACTAAGGGCTGGATTTAATCCCTATCGCTGAACTTAAGCGATATAGCGCGCTTGAAATGTAAATGTAATTTCCGATTGAGCCAACATATGCAGCGTTTACCGTGAATGCAGTCTCCACTAACGTGGGAACATTGCCTTTAAATGACAATAGGGCTACAACGCGGAACTTTGGCGATACGGATTGAATCCAGTCCTATCTAACATAAGTGTAAGGACTTCACTCACTTCCTGCTCCTGAAGAATATGGGGATGCAGTGGTTATATGACAGAGTAGACACGGTCATTTCAATAAGTAGTTTGAAAACATGCTGTTCTGAAGTAGTACATTGTAAACAGGAAAAACAGATTTTTAAATGCATTTCCTTCGCTGCCTTGAAGTTAAAAGCAATTGAATTGCTTCTGTCGTATCGGATGAGTGGTGGCCATTATTGCTGTCAACAAAGAGTCCGTTCAAGCTGCATCGTGTTAGAGGCTTTTATTAAAATCACGAGGTTACAGCATAAGTACAGACCCCGGTGTCCGGAGAACGCTCCTCAGATTGTCATGGCCGTCTTGCCCTTTCTGTAGTCTAGCCCCTATTTAAGACAATGATGCTCCTCTTCTGGCCAATCACCAGTCTCCCCTGTCTACACACACTTCCTGTCTGTGTTACATGACGTTACACTAAAACATATTCTAACGTAAACAACATTCCATTTCTTCATGAAAAACATTTAACAAAGACATAATCTTCAGATACGATACTTCACTTCATGATTTCTAATATACAGAGGAAAAAAGAGGACGACAGCACTGATCATTACTGCCAGGTATTTCAAACTCATGCAAATGGAATGTCCTTTGAATCCTCCGACCAATAGATGGCTACAGATGTTGGGCCAGACTCAGACAAACACCTATTGTAATATAGTTGCTTCGCCAAGTTGGGTGCCACTATTAGTGTACTGTGAACTGGGTATAGGTTCACTCCACCAACCATCACAGCTTTAAACCATTTCACATAGAGACAAAATGAATGCTAAATTCACATGTCTGGAGCAGTTACAAAAGATTCAGGAAATGCATCTCTTCTTTCAATACGCAGACTACCAACAGTGCCATTTCATGACCATCTCTTAAACGCCTACTGAGGAAGTATTCTGCTACGCTATGAGTGGGCTCTGGAATATGCCCATGCATTTTCCTCAATGAATATGTTTCATTACGCCCTGTCAAATCCGTAAAAGAAAAACATTTTGAGGCATGACGAGTTGGAGGATCATATTCATTTGCATCCCAGATACTAATAAGGCCAAGCTGTTTCTTGGAGCATAGAAAGCATTGCTGCTGAGAGGAGGCTTGGTCATTTTTAATAAACCACCAGCACAGTAATAAAAGCTGCTCCAAATCTCTCATTTGGCTTCATCGTGGCACTGGTACTGAATCTAACTCCACAAAGCCATGTCATGCCAATTGCATTTGTACAATCCCTGAGCAGTCCACACACAGTGGGTACTATCCAGGGAGAAAACAACATTCCTTTTTTTCTCGTAAGGTATACTGTAAATGGACTTATTCTTTCTTTGTTAGTGGATGAAGGCATTATTTTGAGAAGAAAAGCGGGGGCATGGTGCAAAACACTTGTAGCAGCTGTTTTCTGGCATACTTCCATCTCCCAGCTTTAGGAATTTTACTTGGTACGTGTAATGAGCACAACATTGGCGTACAATTTGCTAGTGAGAAAAGAGGGAGAGGTGAGTTTAATTAAAACATAACACAGCCTCCCCGCTGTAAATAAGCCTATTATACTGCAGAAGAACTGTGTGCTTCAATGAAACAGTTAAGGAGAGAATTGACAGCTGGTCCTGATCAAAACCTTTTCCCGCTCTCTTCTTGAGATCCCCTGAAGACCATTCCACTTCCAACAGTGGTGGGGCCTGGCACTTTCTCTACCCGCAACAGCAGACTGCTGCGCTGAGATCTGAAGCAATGTTCACATGCCCTTTGGACATAGAACATCATGAAATAAAACAAAGGCGAGGAAAAAAAACTTTATGGATCCTTGGAATATCATAATAAACTGCATGATTAGGCCATTATTATTATACATTGGCCAGTAAATTAGCCTATTTTTCACAAGATTAAAGCCAGAGGAGGAGAATAGGAGCAATCGCATTTCAAGGATTCAAAAGATATTATCGGCAGCTTTCAAGTTCATTTTCTGTGTCACTCTTTTAAGTTCAGTGGCTTAGATCAAAACCAAAACCGTACTCTGCAGATCCATCCCTAAGCAAATATTATTTGCAAACATTACTGTTTTTCTCAGCACTCAGATATACAGGTGTACAATACTAGGAACCTAACACTCATTTGAATATGTATGTTGTTACTTCTAAATGTTCCTCGCTTTGTGTCTGTTTATGTGCATTTGGATGAGCTGATGAGAGTGCTTCAGGCTACACACATACAATTTGCTCACAATAGCCCTCTATATTATATGATTGGTGTTGCAATTACAACAACAAGTAGATGTGATGGCCTGTATTCTGCTTCAGAGCACCACAGTGAATAGACAAGTACAAATTATCAGTCTCCCTCGTTGTCTCTCAATGTAATTTATTTACCTTACCCAAACACAGTCAAGAATTTATTGGAATAAAACAAAGCCCAAACAGTAATTGCTGGTCACACCTGAGCATGTCAGAAACAAG